TTGTCTGCTGGGAAAACCCCTGACCCTGGGTGGTTTCCCATTTGCATTAGTTGAGTGATGATTTTTCTATTTTGCAGGACTGGTAGCCAAACTTTGTTTACTTTAAGGGTTTCTTCTTTCCTGTTGAAGTTGTCCAAGTGTTTGTGGATTTCAATGGCTTCCCTGTGCATTCTGACCTGATAGTTGTTGGCATGGTCCAAAATTTCAGTGTTTTCAAACAGCATTTTATGCCCAGGATGGTTTATAATGTGTTCTGCTACTTTCACAAAATTATAGAATTTCCTAGCATTGAGCCAAGGCAGTTAAAGCAGTCTCAAACTGGATTATTTCTGCAGTGTGTTTTGGACCTTTGTTAACTGAGATATTGTCTATGTAAACATTTAGTGTTTTCTGTAATGGATGTTGTTCATTTGTGGTCTCCATCTCTGTAGTATTTTGATTGAATGTATTGTTTTATATGATCTTATGATTTTAAGTTGTTCTCAACAGCGGTTAGTAATACACTAATTCATAGCAGTGTGGTTAAAGATAATAATGGCACCCACCCCTGCTTTTCCTCAAACAAAATCTTTAAAACCCAGGACATAATGTTCTTCATATATGTTACATTTTTTTCACTAGTTAGGATTCTGACATACTCCTCCAGCAACAGTACAAGCAGGAGCAAATGTTTACTGGTATTGAATGAAAGCAGTATTTTATATCATAAGGGAATCACTGTGTATAAGCATTCAAGATTATTAAGAAGGAATATCCACAATCAGGGACACTTGAAGGGAAAAATGCATACTTTACTTCTTTCTCCATTTTGAGAAATAGTGTATTTCACAACCAGCCTCTTGGTAACCTGGCAATGTTTGTTCCTTATTTACTGAGTCAGAGATGATGTGTCAGTCTTTTCTTTTTGATGTAAATATTTCCTGGCTTGTACTTCAGGTATATTTTCTTTCTGTATGGTGGAACAGGAAAGAAGTCAGACAATTGCTTCATCTGCCTTTGTGTGTGTGTAAAACGTCTTGAGTTTGTTGTATTTGTATCTCACGATACATTAAAATCTTCACCAAGGGCCTTTGCAGACTGCTAGAAATAGTGCAAATTGAGTCCACTTTAACTGCCCTGGCTCAGTGCTAGGGAATCATGGGAATTGTATTTTTTTCTGAAACATTGAGCCTTCTCTGTCATAGAGCTCTGGTGCCACAATAAACTACATTCCCATGATTCCCTAGCACTGAGCCAGGGCAGTTAAAGTGGACTCAATTTGCACTATTTCTGGCAGTCTGCAAAGGCCCTTAGTGTTTGATTTTTTCCCCAGAGAACAATTTTGATAGGTTTTGTGTTCAGAAAACTTTTTCTACAGGGGTGGATCCCATTCCCCACTTTGCCTTCCTTCCCTACTTGGCAATATAACATCTTCCTGTACTCAAATCTTCTATCCATATTTAGAGGATTGTCTTGACATCCATTTACATAGTCTCATCTTATAATAGGAATTCCTTTCTCCCTTCTGTCTTTCAGCTGGAAATGGGTAGCATTAGGCATTGATGTTTTAGCTAACTATGCTAAAACTCCATGGCTAGAAGTAGATTTTTAAATTGAGTTTGAGATTACCAGGGTTACAAAATGTCAAACATGATTAATTCAAAAATGGAAAGAGATGAAGAATAACTCGTGCAGGACAAAGAAAAAGAAAGCTGGAGGGAAGAAAGAGATTTGTTTGACTCACTGTTATAAGGAGACTGAGCATCATAGTTTATACACTTCTGCAGAGAGAAGTTAGAGAAAAACAAAGGGAAAAAACTTTATTTTCTCATATTAGAAGTTTGTGCACTAGATGTTATAATGTATCATTATATGTTTCTTATGTTTTGCTAACATGTTTCTTTTTATTGTAATAAAAAGAGCTCCACACAGAATGCTAGTTTTGCAGATTTAGGACTTGTTTCATTACAAGATAGTGTGGAGGAGGTGACAGCCTTGAATCCACTCACACACAACTTCATAATTGTCTTCTGTTACTACAGTCATGAAAATTTGGTAAAATGTGTGCTTCAAACATGCCAAATAACTAGGAATAACACCATGAACTTGCTTTAAAAACATTTATCACTTTGCATGGGCAGTTCCAGTTTGCTGCTTTTAAAAATATCCATGCTCTCCAAATGTTAAAGAACCCACTTGTGTCTAATTAGATCAATTTTTAGAATTATGATGATGGTGGATATATTAAATTTGTTTAATTCTAACTCAACTTTTGTCTTCTGTATTGTTCAGGATATTACACTCAGATCCAAAAAGCAGTGCAGATATAATCCAGTTTGAGACCGCTTTAACTGCCCTGACTCAGTTAAAAGAGTCTCAAACTGGATTATTTCTGCAGTGTGTTTTGGACCTCAGTTATACTTCTGTTGATATCCTTTCAGAGAATTTCCTGTCCAGCCTCCTTAGCCCATGTACTATTCAGTAACTGCTGGATAGTTACCAAGTTAACAGGCCTGCGTTTTGCTGATAATGTTCATGCATAGGGACTATTTTTAGATTTAGTATGGCTGGAATCTACTTCTCTAGAGTCTTTGTGGGACACAGTCCTGGCAGAAACTGAGCTGAAGGCAACCAATGCAAATGGAACAAAGGGGATAGATTTCATTTGTAAGCTAAATCACCATACGTCTAAGGAAGTAAGGTATATGCATATGCCGGTAGGCTATTTAGAAAATTCCAAAGACAGACAGCAGTTAAAAAGCAAATGAAGACTTTGCAAATCTTCAGAATCAGAGGTATCGTAAAATACAAATCCAGTTATAACTGATGATTTACTAGAGTATGAGGGGAGTAGGTGTTGGAAAGGCTAGATCTGGGATACAGAAATGAGAGTGCACTATACAGCTAAAGTTGACAACTTTCAAGTTTTCAGAGTTTATACTAAAACCAGTGGATCATAGGGGAAGCTGGTGCTTCATCACAGTGACTGCTGTTATCCATTTGTCATGGAAAGAGATTACTAAATAAAAAACTATTCTCAGTAATAGCTGGATTTTATTTTTACTCCAGAAACCTAATGGTAGCATAAGATGCAACTTGAAGCCATTATGTAACAATCTAAGAAGGGGAGCATAAGCTACTCCCCCCCCCCCCAGATCTTAGGCATGTGTCCCCATGGCTGCCCTGGTTGCCACCTGAGACCTCCTCCCAGATATTCTGATAATTTTCTGGCAGTTCCATATAGAGTGATCTATATCAAGATTGTGGGAAATATACTGAAGAGAGGACTCATATTCCCATCTGCAGTGAGCTTCATATAGCATGTTTTTTCCTGACATTGGGGAGCATAGACAGAACCCTCCCAGAGAGGAAGGTATGTGTGCATAATCTGAGCTATCAAAATGTTGGGCCCTTTTGGGACCAATGTTGGCCTCAAGGCTATCTGGAAGTTAAGTTCCTCAGTGGCTGCGGCTGATAGTCCACAGTCATAAACCACAGCTTCATATTCACTATATATTCTTGATTAGATGAAGCTGAAGGAACTTCTTTTGTGGTCTCTCTGGCTACCATCTGTGCAGACATCTTTGGAACCTTGTAGAATCAGGCATTTTTGGCAGGAATCCAGCCCCTTTCCCCACACTTAGGTACACTGCTTTCTGCCCCCCCCCCCCACCAGTGTCTTTCGATTCTCTGCAGTGATTGCACTGGAAGGAAATATACAATTTAGCATAATTTGATTCTCTTTATTCTCTCTTCTGTCATGTTTTTAGTCTATCACTATCCTATGTTTGAGTTGGGGGGGAGGGGGTTTCAGTTGATAGCAGATACTTTTTGTCCTTCATGGATTTATAGCC